CATTGTTTCGCTCACGTTTCCGAAAAAAATTCACATGATTCAAATGTCTCTATAATATAGGATAATTAAGTATTATTAACCGAGTTGATAACGTAAGTTGGCCACCGCAAAGAATTTGAAAGCTAACGTTTCGAGCTTTAGCCCTTGGTTAGAGCAATTGGAGGAACTGTGGATTGTGTGTGAGTTTAGATGCAGAAAATGGAGCTCCGCTACCGGTGGGAATATGGTGACGAGAAAACAAGAATAAATTAGTTGAATGAGAAGCGTTCGTTGATACCGTGGGGATTAAGAGGGCCGATTTGAAATATGGATTTTTGTTCTAGGGTTTTGCGGCTTTCCGAACCGCCAAGATGTAGGGAAAGGCCGCAAACTGCCATATTCTGCTTATAATGATTAGGGAGATTAAAGTTTCTAGCGACTGGTCAGGATGAATCCTTCTCTTTTCACTCTACGTAGCGAAGGTGTTCTCGGCATCGGTCACCAATGTGTGACCTTTTTCAATAAGTGTAAGTTACGCAGTAGATGACACTGGCGGAGGAGCACGTGAAGTGGTGAGTGATCTTAATAGATCACTTGGGTCCAAACATTTTCTCTACGTTATGAATGAAAGGACAAGTTTTGCATACTGAGCAAGCGCATTGGAAAGTTCCAGGTTGGTTATTGGTTTGAAATGAACTTTTGTCCAAAAAGTTGCCTATGTTTTTGTCACGTTTGAATTAAACTGGTGGAGGTTGCAGAAAGATAGTACCAGTCTGAATTGTTTTGAAGTACTTCAAAGTTTTTGAAAATGATGTCTTTAACTGCGTGGTTGTGAGGGTGAAATGTTAGAGTCAATGGAAGGCGATAGGTATTTCCCTTCTCAGCCGTTTGTAGTGACTGCTGACTGACGATCATTGTTGGGCACGGTGGTGGCCCGCTTGAACGACAGGAATTGCATAGCCACGTTTATCGAAAAACTGGCACATTGCCTCTGACTTTTCTGAAAAATCAGGGTCGTCACTACATGAACGATGAAGTCTGAGAAACTGTGAAAAAGGTATGGAAAACTTGACATGTGATGGATGCGAAGATGAATACAACAAGTAACTATGTGAGTCTGTAGGCTAGTAGTAAACACCTAGTGCACAGACCGTTGCCTTCAATTGAAATTTTGACGTCTAGAAAAGCCAAAGAAGTGTCAGAAATTCCCCAGGTATATTTCAGAGCCGGGTGAAAAGAATTGACGGCGGTTATAAATTGAGTGAGCTCCTCTCTGGTAGAGGAGGTGGCGCCGATGCAGTCGTTAATGTAGCGACCGTAGAGTTCAGGTTTTGGGCCGTTGTTTTGACTAAAAAATGGGTGTTCGATAAAACCTACGAAAAGATTGGCGTAGCTGGATTCCATTTTAGTACCCATGGCTTCGCCATTAGGTTGTTTGCAGCAGTTGCCACCGAATGAAAAGCAATTGAGTGTTAGTACTAGTTCGGCTAGACGGAGTAGTGTTTCAGAGCTATGGGTCCCTTAACAATGTGTTGATCGAAAAAATGTTTGAGGGCCCGGAGACCTTCGTCGTTGGGAATGACTGTATAAAGAGATGTGATGTCCATAGTGAAAAGAAGTTTGTTTCGGCCAAGAAAACTAAGTTCGCGAAAAATTTCAAGTGCGTGTTGGCTGTCCTTAAAGTTTTGACAATAGGTGCCATAATTTTTCTAAATAGCTGGAAATAAGTTCGGTGGAACAACTGAAGACGGAGACGATGGGTCGACCTGGGTGGTTAGGGTTGTGGATTTTAGGTAAAGAGTAAATACACGAAGTTCTGGGAGTGGTGATGGTGAGACTCTTTGCAGTGGCCGGCAATTCTTTTTAGCTCGAAGATCGTTAATCTTGTTTTTGACAATGTCTTTATAACAATTATACTTTGTAATACACTTAATAATATGTCTCTTATAATATACTGTATAATGTGTCTTTATAATATACTTTGTCGTCAAATTTCAGCTTAGGAGGAATTCATATCCAGTACCATGCACACCCACATCGGATCCTGAGTCATACCTGGACAAGATATCTCGGAAGTACATGACAAAATTTGAGGTACGTTGCGTGTTTTCATTAAATGGAAAAAATTTTCAAATTTTTTTTAACATGTAAGCCCCGCTTTTTGTTCAATTTCGAAAGGACTAAAGCTAATAATAATCTGCTTCTGTACCTTAACTTGTTGTACTTTAGTAAAATACAGTCTTACGATTATCAAAATGTATTTGTCCACTAATGTGTTTCCAGATTCAAGATACATGTATTTAACAGATAATTAAAATAATTGAGATACTTTTATTTTTCAGACAGGAACGATTACTGACGACACGGTGAAGAGGTTTCGGAACTACGTTATCCTCTACACCTTTAAAGATATTATCCGAGAAGTTGTGGATCAGTGCATGTGGCGAGATCGTGCAACCAGAAACCAAACCGTCCTTCCATTATAGCGTACTGAATTATTACAGATACTGCAAACGTTGACAATATGTACGAGCAATTCGTCACGTGCACTCATTGTGACTCATTAAAAGTTGGGGGACACAAGCGAAGTTATTGTATAAGTGTTGTCATAAACAAAAAACAGAGAAATTATAGAAACGATAGTCACATTATGAAAATAAGTTTTCTCTACTTATTATTTTCTACATCTTGCATGGTCGGAGTCCTCATCTTTATCTCAGACTATAACCAATACAAGGCCTGTTGCTGTAAAGCATATGTTAAGTCAAAAAGCAAAATTAATATTCTGTAATATGCCAAATCGTTCGTCTCTACCGTACGATTTCAGATCACCGAGAAGAAAAGTTTTCCTGGATTTACAACGAGGTTAAGAAAAGGCTAAATTCATGATAAACCTGCATTAAAGAAAGCGTAAGGACTGCAAACCTGAACCTTGATTGACGGACCTGGAGATTTACTCGCAAACGCTGTTTAGCAAGCAGCTTAAAGTCACTGAATTAAAGGAGATATATTCGGCTAGACGCAACCGTCAGGGCTGACCATCGATCCAATAATTCGTATATATATATATATAATGGCGCATGATATAAAATGCTTCTTCTACCACACTGTTCTGTTGGCGATCTTCTAAGTTCGACTGGAACTTTCTCCCCATGAATCGCTTTTGAAAACTCACACATACATTGAGGAAAACAAGGATTACAACATAGTTTATCCAGATATGATTTCAAGAGATTAGTGTTACAAACCTACTTGCACGAGACACAGGGAAATATGATCCAATAATTCGTTTTTTATATATCTTATGGCGCACGATATAAAATGCTTCTTATATCACGCTGTTCTATTGGCGATCTTCTAAGTTCAACCAGAACTTTTAACGCCCACGAATCGCTAATGAAAACTCACTCATACATTGAGGAAACCACGGATTAGAACATAGTTTCTCCAGATATGATTTCAAGAGATTATTGTTACAAACCTACTTGCACGAAACACAAGAAAGAAAGTCTTCTCAGCTATTCTTAGCAGGCCATTTTTAAAATGGAGATCAAATAAACATGTGACCTCTAAATGTGATGAAACACACTAAAACGCCACGCTGCTAACGCATGGGTTGGGAGACATTTGCGGAAGTAATAACATGGATTCTATAGAATGGAGCGAGTGGTTCAGTTCATGGTACAGTAAATGATCGTCGTTACGTCATGATTATATAACCCGTACAGAGTTCTCTTACTATCATCACCTATTTTTTTAATTCTATAAAGAAAGTGCAACTCATAGTTCGCAAAATATAAAGTCAATTCTTTGTTTTTGCCGAGAATCTAACATTTCTAGTAGACAATGAGAAATTCATTCAAATGATAAATCCACCTTCCTAAACCGTGAAATTATATGTTCATGCGGCGTCAAGTCAGCAAATTAGGACATATTGTTCATTCCTTCAATTTAGACTATTGAGCAGCCCTTGGCCTTTGCTTGATGTATTGATGAGAATAGTGACAAAGTACAAATAGATTGCCTATAACCAATCAAGGGCGTAAACCCATAAACTAACGACCCCGCTGGTTTGATATGAAAATAGAATCACGTCAACACAGAAGTCACGTTGTAAATATTGCACACGCTCATTCAACCAGCAGGGCTCAGCGGGCGCTTTTAATAAA